CTAATACACGACAGAACTCGGCTTCCGCGAGAACGACAAGATCACCGATATCGAATTCCCCGATGAAGATTGGTGGTTCGGCCACCTTCGCGGAAAGCAGGGCCTGTTCCCTGCTAACTACGTTGAGCTCGACCAGTAAATTGTGGGAGGGAAGGCGCACGGCAAAAGTCTTCTTTTTTTTCCGGACGGGGGTTGCGCGACATGCCTTGATGGTGCGGACAGCAAGTTTAGTTCTCTTAGCCCTGCGCACAATGATATTGCCACACTGTTTGTCGTGTCTGTGTTGCTGCGAGGTTGCGACGGAGCTCATTCTCAGGCTTTGAGCCTCTTCCGCGGACGCAGCCTGCGCATGGCAATCATGGTCAGATTTCTTGCTCTACGTTGCATCGCCACTATGATGACATGATAGGTGATGCCGAGAAAATGGGAAAGACGTCATGTTCTTCTAGACGATTCGAACATGTGAGGACATCGGATGAACCATAGCAATCGATCGCATGAGAAATTCAAGAAAGAAAGAGGGAGAAAAAGAACTCCCCAGCCAAACGCCATTTCCGAGCCGGAGAGCTAGTTCATGCACAAGGAACCCGAAAAAAAGAAACCCTCGCGAACCGCCAAGAAGGAGCAGCAGCAGCAGTAACCGGGTTCTCATCGTACACCTCCCCACCCAAACCCTCGCCGGAGTTTCTCAACACATATCGTCGCATCCATCGCAGCTACTCCAGTCAGCGTCATGGTCGCGAAGAAATGACCCGTATTCGACGATACGGCAACGAAGCCTAGTCCAAAACGGCCGTAAAGTGGATTGATACCACAGGAAGGGGGAAAGCTTGGGAGAGAAAGAAAAAGGAGGAAGGAGGGGAAAACACTCACCACTCGGCACAACCCTCACATGCGCCATCGCAAAGACAGCAACAGCACAGCGTAGCGAGACACGCCGCCAGACAGCCCCTCTGCTTCTGTCCGCCGCCGCCACCTCCTCCTCCGTGAGGTCGGCCCTGCGGCGGCGGCGGTTGCTGCTGGTGGTACTGCATCGGCGGCTGCTGGGGCGGGTAGTAGCCCTGCTGCTGCTGCGGAGGGGGCCCGCCCATGGGAGGGCCGTACGCCTTTGTGGGAACCATGTCAGCCTTGATCCTTCTCACGAGTCTGTTGTTGCGCCGAGAGCGAGGATCTCCTTCCCCCTCCTCTCTCTCTCTCTCTCTCTCTCGGGGTGACGGCGGGGCGCGGACGTACTGCTTGTGGCTGTTGCGGGTAGCCTTGCTGGTACCCCCCCGGCGGCGGGCCATAGCCCTGGGGCTGGGGGTTGTAGTAATCCTGGCTGCTCATCTTCTCCTTCTGGGTCCTGACTTTCGTTCGCAGTTGCTTCTCCTTGCCGTTGGTGTGTGATACGAGAGTACGCGTATAACGATGTGTGTGATGTTGGGAAAGATTGTATATAAATATATATGATTTGGTGGGGTGAAGTTGAAGGTAGGTAGGTAAGATGAAGGCGAAGTGAGGTAATGCGAGGATGGGGTTGGTGCTAGTAGATGAACCCCCGTCGCTCGAGTCCTTGCCCGGGAATACGTAGGCCAAAAAAAATGGCTGGGCTGACGAGTAGGCGATCCAGCACACTGGCCACCTGAGCAACCCACCGAGGTAGACACCCATCCACAGAACTGGCCACTGGAGGCCACCTCCCCAGGCCCCCTCAAACAGCAATCCTCTCTGCTAAACACCTGCCCGTCTGAGCTGACTCGGTACCAGCGCGGTACCCCCGAGGAGGTCCAGCTACCCCACTACGAACACAGCCTGACAGGCCCCCCGCGCAGTCGGCTCCTCCGCTGATGCTGCCCTACAGGCTCCCTCCCAGGACCCGTAGGTGCCTACCTTACCTGCCCAAGTAAGTAGGTACCTACCTACGATCCAACGCCCTCTGGACGAATCTCGGTGTCCACGCTCTGGCCCCCCCCGATGACTTTCCATTGCTGTGAAGTATGTACAGCCCGTGTACCCCACCCCTCAGCCTGGTCGGCGCCGCCGCCACCACGCTGCATCCCTGCGCTCGAATGGGTGCACCACGCGTCCTGTTGCGCCGTCTTTGCCGTGTATGGTCGGCCGCTGTAGCGCCAATCGACTACTTCTCTTCCTTTCGATCGTCTCGCTGCGGCGTCGTGGCGCCGAGGCTGGGCGAGCAATTCGTGACGTCGATGACGACCATATTGGTTCGCTGGAAAGGCAAATCAGATCGTCGCATCACGGGCGCGTGCTTCTGTGGCCGTAGATGCAACACCAATAACCTTAGGTGCCCTGAGTAGGTAGAATATGTAGGCAGTCTCGGGGGAATCATGTTCAATTCGCTATCATATCTCACGTCATCATAGTCGCGGGTCTGCGCCGCTTTCCCGTCCGCCAGATGCACCTGATACACCTGTATCATACATATGTATCCAAAATATCAAACCAGGCGCTCTTATCCTTCCTTTCACTACGCCTCACTCAAGCATGATTCACCTCTCGTACCGCGGGAGTTGTTCCGACCCCGAGCCGATGTCCCTCGGCGACGACGGTCCCGCAGGGTAGCTATACTGGCCGCCATATTCGTCTTCGTCCGTCAACACCGGCGCCGACGGTATCGCGTCTGCCGCATCCGCCGGTGGTGCTGATGGCCGGTGGCTGGGTCCGGCCTCGTAGTCCTCCGGGAACTCTGGTGGCGCGCTTGCTTCGTTCATCAACCGCTGCCTCTCCACCTCAAGCTTGTCCTCAGTCGGATGAGATGTCGGCCCTGCAATGTCCTCCAGTGTTGGCGCTGACGGCGCGTCATGCTCGTGATTAGCTTCTGTCCTGGAAGGTTCGTGTAATGGTGGTGCCGAGGGTGGGCCGTCGTCGGCGTCGTAAATATTGGCTTCGGGCGCCGAGGCTCCAGAAGGTCCTGCATCGGCCGCTGATGGCCGGCTCGGCAATAACCTCTGTTCTTGTCGACGCACCCGCTCCTTTTCTGTGAGACCGCTCTCGTCCTCGATTTCAGGCGCTGGCACGTATGCTGGTGCTTCCCCTCGATCCAGAGGACTCGCCATGTGTGCTACCTCTGCCGTATGTTGCCGGCTCAGAGGCCCAGGCGGCCGTGTGCCCCTGGTCGGTGTCGGCCGCTGCCAATAGCTGGACCCATCGTCGCCGTCCGCATGCCCTTCTGACCACGGGCTGATGATCTCATCCTGGCTGATCGCATCTTCTTCTACGTGATAAGTCCGTAATGTGTTGCTCCTGCCTCGCTCTTTGCTGCTATCGACGGTCCCCATGACCAGTTCGAAAACAACGGATATCACTCCCTTTTCTCTTCGCAGTCGATCTGTATCTATCACATTGCCGCTTCTTGCTGTGTAACCCTCAGTGGGCTGGGAAGAAGAAAACCCAACTGCCCTAGACTGGCCCCCGCTCTGGAGTTGATTGGCTAGCCTGCCACCCAGATCTACCAGCACCTCGATATGATACTTGAAGCTGATCATCTCGCCAGGTACTCCCTTGATGGTGGGAAATGCGTCCTCCGGGACCTTGAGAGATGCCATGACGGTTGTCTCCATAGTCGCAGGGTCAATGATCAAGGGCGCCACCGCTTGGGACAAGTCTTTGCGGAAGACACTCTGTGAGGTTGTGGAAGACAGAGACAACCCTCCAAGACCAGTTCTCGACCTGGGGTAGTATTCTTCTTTCTGCAGCTTCCGAGCATCGTCTTTGGACACCATATCAGCAAACAAGGACGCTGGCGGAGCAGTATCAATCCTGCCCTGGCGGTACATGGTGACAATGACGCCATGCATGCTTTTGAGACGCTTGATGTGCTGGACCGAAACCTTGACGGTTGCTGTATCACCCGCAACGGCGCCTCCGCGCAACAGCTCGACTGTTGCTGTGATTGTCTTCTCGTCGACTGCCTGCAACTTGGCATTGGCGGCGAGCGATGATGTCGTCTGATGTTCCGTGCCACGGTCGCTCATGCCACTGGTGGAAGTCAGACCACTGTCGCCGCTTATCTCAGACCGACCATCTTGTTGCTGGTGCAAGGGGCTCCGCGGGTTGTCCTGCGCATCTTGCTGTGTGTCTTCTGAAATGGTGGAACGCTCCACGTGAGATTCGTGGTCCGAGGCATGCTCGATCGCCTCGTTGGTGGGAGGTAGTCGTTCCACTGGTGCGGCTGGGCCATTTGCATTGGTGTTAGCCGGTGCCACAACCGTCTGCTGCTGTTTCCTCCTTCTCGACTTTTTGGAAATGGGTTCAAGATAGATAGTTCGCGGTCGCGGACGGGGGAGGAGGCCAATGTCGATCTTCTCCACCAGTGATATTTTTCGGTCGCACGTCGTCGTTGGCGCGATAGTTGTCGGTCGCGTGAGGGTCGCAGTGATCATATAGGAGATGGTACCACGCTCAAACTGTGGCTTGTAGTTAGCATCTCACGGCATATTCCGAGCAAGGGTCGATTGGACGGCGTACATCGATGCTACTGGGCAAGCCCTTCTCGGGAAACTGCAGGTCGAACTGGAATTCGTACTTGGCGGCTTCCAGGCGCCCCTCGCCGGCAAGCACCTGCTCATCCTGGAACAAGGACGCGTAACCGTTGCCGTGGTATTGCGCCGACGAGCGACCAGACGTCAAGATGGGGCTGGCGAGTTCGCGCTCGGCAATGGCGGGGCCTTTGAAGACGCGCACGTAGCCGTGCAGGGCCACGGTCAGGTGGGTGATGCGAACAGGTTTGACAATGGTCAGGACGACAGAGCCGCGGACATTGTCGCCCGCATTGTACTGACGATGGGGCTCATTCGGGCGAACGTGAAAGTCGGCAACGTGGCGCGTGCGGGTGCGAATGGGCAAGGAGAATCGGGAGAAGAAGGAGCGGGACGAGGTTTGTTTGTCGACGGCGCCGTTGGCATCTAGGTTTGCGCCCATGTATGCAGCGTCGGAGCGACGGGGTTCAATTGAGGTGGCTTTTGAGTTCGATTTCGACGTGGTGCCAAAGGGCTCGGTGGGCGCGAAGGTCAAGGAGGAGGGAGGGGAGGCGGCGACAGGACGCACAATGTCGACCATCCAGGGGCGATGCAATGGCGAACAAGCGCTAGCGGTTGATGACGCTGAGGGCGGTCGTCGTCGATGGTCGAGCACGGCAGGGTGTGTGACTGCGAGGTCGGATTCGTCGGATCGAATCGAAACAAGACGGCTGACTCTCACGAAATAACGATTTGGTGTTGCTGTACTGGCACGGATCTACGCGATGCTGACCACGGGCTTGGCTTGGGTTGCATATGCCAAGAGGAATGAGGGAACCTTGCCAAGAAAGCTTCGCCCTTGTCGTGCTCTGCAGTGGAGGGAAGGTCTTCTGGGTGGTCTTTGGTCGACGATTTCTGGAACTGGGACGGCCGGGACGGGAGGGGGTTGGCCTGGGGCTCTGTTTTGTTGATGCTGGAGGTGGAATGGGACGATTCACAAAAGCAGCAATGAGAGGACGATGGAACACGACGCAACGAGAGAGAGGCGACCTTGCCCTGACTTAATGCAGCGGGCGAGCAAGAGAGAGAGAGAGGGACGGAGTGAGCAGAGACGCAGGCACGTCTGAGCCTGAGCTTGCCCGAGTGAGCGAGCGAACCTGAACCTGGAAAGAGCGGATGGCGGCGCGCTCAGGCCTGGCGCCTCCCCCATCCGAGTCCTCCACCATTCTCACCTGCCAGTCAGGCCAGGCACAACCCAGCCGAGATCCCGACTTATAATGCACCGTTCCTACCAATGTGTTGTCAGCGAAATCAAGCACGCATTTCCTCCTGTTTTCTATCACTCTGAATTTTGCTCCTGTTACCTTACCTACCTACGTATGAACGTGGTCAAGTACGTAGGTAGACAAAAGTATTCTCCTTTGCGTGCCACTCGTGCCCTCTCTCCTTGTGGCCATATCCTTCGAGACCAACTGTTCTAGTGGCACCCACCCCGCGAATGCTCCGCCTCATGGCCCCAACTGGCACTACTTGTGCCCAGTGTCTCTCCTCAAAAGCCCCCCCCCCCGCCCCCCCCCCCCCAAAACGAGATTTACGGCGACGGTTCAGTGCACATATATCTCACGGTTGACAGTTCGTCTCACACAAGACATATCTTTCACGGAATTATACAATTCCATGGCACGCTATTTGGCTTGCACTACGAACAGACATTGTACCGTACAGCCAGCCATTGATATTTCCTCGGCCACATCACTCACGTACGATGGCGTACCGCATGAGGGTCTCGGTTCTGTCGGCCTTTCCGTAACGGGCTCTGAGATAAGTACTGGGGTAGCATTCCCCGTCAGTGTCACCTTGAGAGGATGAGGGATGACCTGACCGCTTGGCACTGTTGGTCCCCGCGATTCAGCTGTATTTCGCGACGAATGATAGTATTATTTTTCACCATGCTCGTGTGTAACGCACACGTCGCGTGTCAGGCGCAGGATAGGTCTTGCCGCCACGGTACTTCCACAGCATGATGCTGCCGACAGTCGATTTAACCTCAAGCCTCTCTGCAATGATACAATTGCCTCAGCCCGGCTTCTTACCAGATCAAGCGCCAAGGAAGAGCTGAGTCCGAATCTTATCTCACAGCGAAAGACACGAACCGAGAAAAAAAAAATGCAGCATGTCTGTACATGTTTCGGCGCCAGAATAGGTACCTACCCACCCTGTCGAAAGCCATTGCGCCCCTCGACCTATTTGTACCAGCACTCCACTACGGCACACTCCTCCCGATCCGCATCGGGCCAGACACCACATCCGACCCAGGGCATGGTTCAGTGGCAGCACTAGGCCCTCCAGCTAGGCACTGGTTGGCCGAGAGCATCCACTCCCCATCCTACCCAGGTGCTTTTGGTACAGCGAAGACCACCACACCTCAGCGCGTTGTCTTCTGGTACGCAGTTTTTGCCCGTCGGCCGCTACCTAACCAGGTAGGAGTACATGTACTATGTATGCCCCCCCCTGGCTATGATCCCTCACAACCCTTCCACTGGAAAAGGGGATCCCGCAGGCTAGTAAAGCGCCCGGATGCCCCTGGGCTCAATGCGTTTCATCCACCATCCTTTAAGGTCCAACGCAGCAGGGCTGGCGGTCTGTATCCCTACTCAATGCTCACTTTGCTCCGTGTTCTCGGCTCCGCGGCTCTGTCGCGTCAAGGTTAGCATGGCAAGGGCTGGATGCTCGCAAGTCGGCACCCGCGCGCACATCGATTATCTCTCCTCGTCCGCCATAGGTGGTATTGCAAACGCAAATGAATAGGGTCATCTGAATGGTCCTCTCTTCGCCATTTGTAAACAGTTATCTAGCTCCGGCTGTTGGGTATCAAGCTCCGGTCGCAATCTCTGCATCCTCACCAAAATTAAACGTATGCCACACCTGCACTAAACACTCCAATGATTCCTTCGCTCCATGACTCCCGTAGGAAAACAGATGCCCCATCTCATCCAAACCCCTAAGCAATGCCATGCATGAGATGCACAATCCAAACGCCGTTTTCTGTCCTTGCTTATACCAAGAGAACCGTACCCACAACTCGCTCTGTTCAGTCCAATGCCTCGCCGCTGATGATGCTCTTGAGGATGCCCGCGCCCACGCCGTCCGTCATTTGCTCCATCTCCTTCTCGCCAACGCAGCTGGCCACCCGCCTCTCCTCGCCAGTGGCAAAGTTGCCCTTGCGCGACCGCTTGCTAGGCGTCTGCGCAATGAAGCTGCCCGCCTTGCCCTCCACGGGGCTGACAAGGCCGAGCGTCTCGAGGCTGCCAACGACCTCGCGGAACTCTGAGCTCGAGAGCGGATGCAGAACCGAGTCTCGTGTGCAGAGAACAGTGTACGTGTCGAATAGAATCTTGACAGTCGGTGCGAGAGTAGCCGACTTGGATGGTGTCGTCGAGAGTCCAGAGTTGGCCCTCGCCACTCGGTTGCGGTTCTCCAGGGCCACCAGGGCGCAGAGTGCCGCTTTTTGCTGCAGGTTGAGTGCCTTGAGTCTCTGGTTTGTGCCGTTGCTAAAAGCCGCTTGCGTGACCTTGTTGAGGTGCCCGATGGAAGCGCGAGGCGCTGTCTCTGCCGTCAAAGCTTTGAGCGAGCTCGTTGCAATCTGGGCGACGCTCCTCGAGCCGCCCTTTGTGGGAGAGGCACAGTTCGTAGTCTCACCCAGGGGCTTCCTAGAGGGCGTCATCTGAAGCATCTTTTCGCGTGCTTCGTTCTCGTGTTTCTCTTTCGTCTCCGTCTCGATCAAATCCAGCGCTCTGCGGCAAATCTCAAAGGCCTTGCGCAAGTCTCCCGTCTGACTGGCTACCTTTCTCGAGCAAAGCTCGATAGCGGCGGGATGGATGAAGGGAGCTGATGTTTGTTGGCTGCCTTCTGGCAACAGGCTCTTTAGACGGGTCGTGATGATACTTTTGATCTGGGCGGCTGAGTAAGGGTGGAAAGGAAGCAGGTCGGGCTTCAGGTTCTTTGACTTGAGTCGTGGTAGGAAGCGATCTGTCAAGTCCAAAGCGTTGGCAATGCCGACCATGACCAGCCGTGACGGTTTCTGGAGCGACCACTCAAACAGACGGTATAGACTCTCCAAGCCCATTGTGAGAATGTGGTCAATCTCGTCCAAGACAACCAAGTGAACAGGCGCATCCTCTTCCGAGGTGACAAAGATGGTCTGCAGTGCCGCCATGGCTTGCGCCTCGTTGAGATCTTCGCTGTGGCCAGCAGGTCGAGAAGGGTGTTGTACAGGTCCTTGGATGATTTGATGCTCATGCAGTTGATGTAAAGCCTGACGCACCCCAAGCGTCTCCGTCAACTTGCTCGTGACCTCCTTGACCATGGCGCTCTTTCCTGTACCCGGTGGACCGCTGATGTAGAGGCAGCCACTAGCAGCCGAAGAGGAGCACTGGTCGACAAATTTGCTGAGCCGGGCCTTCTCCTCCTCACGTCCTACAAGTTGGCCAGGATCAGCTCCACGGGCAAAGAGCTGTCGCGCGTGGTGATAGACCGTCTGCTGAGCCGCTGGTGTGAGGGGCGTCTGGGGGGTCATTCGTCTGAAAAGCTTGCCCGCAGACATGACAGCATGTCTTGGCGTGATTGGGGCCTTTGCGAAGGCATCTCGGTGACGAGGGGTTTGTGGAGTGACGGGTACGGCTTTTGTAAGCTTCTGTGACTTTGTGCGGTATTGCCTCTTTGTGGATGGCGTGGGGACGACATCGACATCCTCATCGATTTCTGACAGGGACTCAGTCGCCTTGGGGTCGGCATTTTCGTCATTCGCCTCCGCTAGCCGAGCTGATCGTCGAGTTCGCTTTGCAGGGCAATCAAGGGCACCTGAAAGAGGCTTGATGAGCAAGATGAACGCAGGAGGCGCTTGCTCGGGGGTCCGCTTACCTGTGTCTGCGACGTCCCTCATCCGCTTTCCGAGGGTTGTGCCGGCCATTGGAATCGCTCGAGGGCTTTTGACCTGAGAGTCAGGAAGAAGCGGTAGAGGAGGAAGGAATGGTGCAATATTCGAGAAGGTGCAGTCAGTTGGTGAACGTTTATGCGTCAAGGCAGGTGCAACAGTTCAGAGGTAGGTATGTGGAGGTGTGGGATGTGTCGCTGTCGAGGTCGGACCTGCTCCGGGAGCTGGCTGGCAGGGAGATTTAGAAGTAGCCGCCCCGGAAGGGTGGGCCAGTACGGCGCGTAAAGTGCTGCAGGAGCGCGTTTTCGCGTCAGGGCGCGATTTCCCTTTAAACGACGTGAGGGAGTCGACGGCTGCACGTGCTTCTCAAGGGACGTGCACGCGTCTGAGGCCCCACCTTTTTCGTGACTACTTGGTGGCAAGTCTGGCCAGATGATGCCAGCCAAGGGCAGTGTCAGCCAGTAGAGAGGCGAGAACGGCTAACAGTTAGTGCTTTGTGCGGAGGTGCCCGATCACTCGTCTTCCCCCAAACCAAACGCCGGCCTCCGCCGTGACTATCTAGACAGGATGGTACCCGCAATTGGAGATGAGGCTCTTCGGCTTATCAACTTGTCGTCGGCCCCATCATGACCTTGCCTCCATGTGCCCTCGTTGGCATCTCTTCCTCCCTCACTCTTTTGAATCGTGGGCGTAACAGTCAGGCCGCCTGTCCATCTCTTCCCCTCACCTACTCTGGCTTCTCGGCTGCAACGCCGACCCACCAACCTCGCACCCCGAATGTATGTGGCATGAGATAGTGTTGCATGACCCGACTTCGATATGGCAGAACCCTCGTATAATGCCTTGGTGGAGGGCTTCAGAGATCGCGAATATCCCATGCTCAAAGGTTTGCTGGTTCGCTCGTCCGGAAAATCTGACAGGGCTGACTCGCCACAGACTCCGTATATCTCGACCATGCTGGAACGACGGTTTACTCCAAGTCTATGATGGACATGTTCACTGCCGAGATGATGTCTAATTTACTTGGCAATCCTCACTCTGGCTCTCTGCCTTCGCAGTACACTACGTCTCGTATCGAAGACATCCGTTTGCGACTTCTTAACTTCTTCAATGCGGATCCTTCCGAGTTCGACTTAATCTTCGTTGCCAATGCTACGGCAGGCGTCAAACTTGTGCTTGAAGCCTTTCGAATTCTGCCCGCGGGATTCTCATACGCATATCATCAGGCTTGCCATACTAGTCTCGTTGGCGTTCGTGAGGAAGCCGTCGAGAGTATTTGTGTCGATAACGATCACATCAACAAATGTCTCGCTGGGCACACACTCAATCTCAGCCTAGTTGCTTCAGACTCAACAATCTTATTCGCCCATACCGCTCAGTCGCATATGGACGGGCGACGATACCCAGTTTCGTGGTCATCGGAGATGAGAAAGGCGGTGCATCCATCGAGGGCCCTATATACTCTGCTCGACGCCTCATCTCTTGTAACGACCTCACCACTCGATCTCGGCGACTCTGAAACTTCGCCTGACTTCACCGTCCTTAGTCTCTACAAGATTTTCGGCTTCCCCGATTTGGGGGCTCTGATTGTCCGACGCCAAGCGCAGCCAGTCTTCAACTCGAGACGATATTTTGGTGGCGGCACTGTGGACACTGTCGTATGTGGGAAAGAGAAGTGGCATGCTTCGAAGAGCCAATTTCTTCACGAAAGACTAGAGGATGGAACACTGCCGTTTCACAGCATCATTGCGCTCGATGCTGCTCTTCACAGCCACAAGGTGCTTTTTGGGACTATGGCGCACGTCGCTGCTCACACAGCGTATTTGCGCCAGCATCTGGCCAAAGGACTGTCTGCTCTCAGGCATGCTAATGGCGAGCCAGTCTGTGTCCTGTACGGTGAAGACAACGACCTTAACGCCGAACTTGTCGCTGAGTGTGGGCCAGTGGTAGCCTTCAATCTGCTCAACGCGGCAGGTGCATGGATCAGCTTAAATGAATTTGAGAAGCTTGCTACGCTTCAGAAATTTCATGTTCGAACCGGTGGTGTGTGCAGCCCAGGTGGTATCGCCGCGGCTCTCAAGCTTGAGCCTTGGGAGGTTCGGAGAAACTTCTCAGCTGGCTTTCGTTGCGGTACGGATCAAGACATCATCGCCGGAAAACCGACGGGTGTGATCCGAGCCAGCCTGGGCGCGATGAGCATAATGCAGGACGTCAAAAGCTTCGTTGACTTCATTGTCGAATTCTACAGAGAGACGGAGTATCTTGCCACAATCCCGACCACTACCACCATGGAGTTTGTCCCGGACACCGCACAGTTGTGTGTCCAGGCCTTGTCTGTCTTTCCCATCAAAAGCTGTGCCGCCTATTCGGTGCCGCATGGTATAGATTGGGAAGTGAAACCAGAAGGTCTAGCTTGGGACAGGGAATGGTGTCTGGTTCACTCTGGGACGGGACAAGCATTGAGCCAGAAACGATATCCTCAAATGGCTCTCATTCGGCCAGTCCTGGACTTTGAGCAAGGCCTTCTTCGTGTCACATGCTGCGGCACAGTACGCACAGATGGGCCAAGCGAGGTTTCGGTGCCGTTGTCAGCGGACCCAACGGTTCTGGATACGCAAGGTTCCGACCCTATGCTTGTATCCCGAGTTTGCGGTGATCAAATATCCGCCCAGAAATGCGCTCTTCCAGAGGTCAATGCCTTCTTCTCCGATGTTCTAGGCGTGCCTTGTGTGCTGGCTCGGTTCCCAGCAGGCGGTCGAGGACGGGGTATGCGCCAGTCAAAGGCACAAATTCAGAAGCACCAAAGATTCGGAAAGCCAGCAACGAGCCTGATACCAGGATCATTTCCAGACCTGCCATCTCCGCCGGACTCGGATTCTGAACAGCAGGGAAGCAAGATTCTCCTCGCAAATGAGAGTCCAATCTTGTTGGTGAACACAGCCAGTCTCCGCGCACTCAATCACGTTATCATGGCCAAGGGGGACGCCCCGGTTCCCATCTCCGCCTTCAGGGGCAACGTTGTTGTCGGCCCAGCCAACGACAACGATGCACCTCTGCCGTACGCCGAAGACGCTTGGGCCAACGTCAAGATAGGTCGCCATAACTTCCAACTGATGGGCTCTTGTCGTCGGTGTCAAATGGTCTGCGTCGACCAAAAAAGTGGCGCAAAACATCAAGAGCCATTTCTAACTTTGGCCAAAACCCGACGCTTCGACGGTAAGGTTTTTTTCGGAACGCACATGCGTCACGACAGTCGACCAGGCTATGCCACGAAGGCAGCTCAATATCCAACCATCCGGGTGGGCGACACGGTCGAGCCCAATGCCCCCGTGCGTTGAGGAAAGGAACTTGTCAGAACAAACGGATGACAGCACTTGAGCCACCAGCCTTGGATTTTGCCAAGAGATGGCCGACGACCTTACGAGCATCTCTCAACACGTACAGTGCCCTTGTCTTTTCCGATACAGTAGGTGTCAGGTGAAACGGGGACATCCGTGCGCGAAGCTTACTCCAGTCTGAAGCTCTCCACCTCGAGCTCAGCTTTGCTTCGCCATCCGTCTGTCTGGTCAACAATACGCATTTGACCGTCATCCAATGATGCGTTTCCCCCATCGACAGCTGGTGCGTCACATATTCGCGCTAACCAACAACGTCGAATCAATGCGTGGTTCTCAATACGTATCCAAATCATGATGTCGACAACCGGCCCAGAGCGTGCACTGGTAGAACTCGGCCGTCCGAACAACGATCAGGAACGCTAGCCTCAACACCTACACGGCAAATTAGCTGTATGCCTAGGCAGGACCTGAAACGGGACTTTGCTTAAGCATTATTGTGTTGCCAGAGTAAGCAGGCATGAGCAGGCTGGCAGTGGGAACCATCTAATTGTCCTGGGTATGACATTAAAAGGCCCACGACGTTGCTTACATGCGCAAGTGTAGCAACGATGACCAGCACGGCAATGAGAGCCCGCTTGGTGTTGTCCTGGGCAGGACGTTAAAAGGCCCGGCATGTTGTCTTCATGTTCGATCGAAGCAACAATGAGCAGTATGGCGACAGATGCCAGCTGTGTAACGAAGCGTTGCCATGCTTTTCGGTTCTGTTGGATCCGCCATGATGACGATCATACAGATAGTAAGATGCTTCCGCCGTGGGGCGCCATATCTGTTACACACTTTGCTGACTTGTCTCTACAGGATGGACCATTACGAGTGAACGATCAGTACATACCTTCGCGCGTTAGTCCTGGGCACGACGGGGAAACTGCCCAGTGGACACGACTCAGTACGACGAGACGATTCACGATATGATGACGTTAGAGCTAAAAGCCCTTACGGTCGAATGCCTACTGGTCGTATTACGAGCAGCTGGTGAGAAAAAGTCGTGGTGCGCCGTGATGACTGTCGAAACTGGTCGAGAATAACAACCGGCGCAGCAGCGGATCTGTTGCGGCGGCGGCGAGGTCACTCTGCGGTAGAGGCGTAAATCCTCGTCAGTGCCGCCAGGCGGGGTTCTTTCTGAAGGAGACAAGCGTGATAGTAAGAGCAGTATGCCGGAGGCGTGTCGTCAGCTGGCCGTCCCGTGGGCAAGTCCACGACCAGCAGACCACTTGCCAGCCGCGGCAGAGGCTACTTTGCTCCGGAGCCAGCATCTCGGACTAGGCCGAGGAGGACCTGGGCCACCTGCGGATATCACCGCCCTAAGGGCGCCGAAATGGGTGGACCAAACGTTTGGACGGTGGAAGCGTGTGCTTCTAAGAGCGATGGGCTGGTCACGTCTCCTGGGACGGGCGGTGGGATTGCATCGTCCGGACCTAAGCTCTTGCGCTCGACCATCAGGTTTCGGGGCGTCTCCCGATTACATGTCAAGGGGGGTACACAGGTGGGGGATTCCGTTCAAGTGAGATGCCGACGATGATTCTCTTGCCGAACTAGCTGGACAGCGAAATTCAAGCCTGACTTTGCCCCATACTATTCTTACCTGTGTGTGGTTGTAAGCTGCCTGACTATGCGAGTCGATGGAGTCGATCTTGAAATTACGGTCAAATCACGGTCATCACACATCCAATGCTCTGTCAACCAAAACGATCCACCATTAAGACGATATCTCGTTGCACTGCACATGGATTGATGTAAGGCGTATATGGCCATGTGTTTATGTTGGTAGTTCACAGTAGGTATCATTAGGTTTCAACCGATGAAACGGCCGCTTAACGTCTATCATACACGGATGCTCCGCTCGAAAGCCTGTGATGTACAATCTGGTCGCGCTTTCCCAAAAACGCCCCAACTCTCATAAGTCATTGATGATGTCGTGGTTTGAAGAATTTTTGTGCTACTTGTGCTTTATTTGGGAGGCGACGCAGGGCCAGCGGTGAAACTGGAAGGGCGTGTTAGTCCACACGTGTCGAGGTATCAGATTGGGTGTACTTTGGTAGTGTCATACTTGCGCCACATCTTGCCAAACATGCCGGGTGCGACCTGCTGGTCATGGAGGCTCTGACGACGAGCCTGGCCTTGGGTGCCGCGCTTCTGGTCGACGAGGCCGGCGAAGAGGGTGTTGGAGCTGCGTCTGCGGCCGGTGGGGGAGCTGCTGAGCTGGTCGGCGGGCTTGGAGGAATCCATGGTGATATTTCAGGGTATTGTAGTTTCGAGGGGTGGATAATTGCTTGAGAGTTTGTTGTGGTGTGGTGTGTCGGGGTGTAGTGAAAGAGTTGCGGGGAGACAGCCACGGGAGCACTGGATATATAGGCACAATGGCAGCTCATGAGGGGTCAAAGAGACCCAGACGAACTCGGTCAATGGCACATCACTGACGAACGACCTAAGGGAGCGGGGGCAGCGAGCGATGCGTAGCGACCCAATGAACAAGCACGGGTTGGGAATTTACACGCGACCACTAAGCTGAGAAGAGCTGGCTTGACACCAGGCGACACACACACATATCACGTCGAGGTCGATGACTTCACCAATGGGGTGATCCGCCGGATGGCGCCCGGGGAGCGGATGGGGAAAAGCTTGAGTGTCGTCGATGATGCGTACCCCGCGCGCGAGTCGGGGAAGACGGACATGGGCGAGGAGGGGCCCTCGTCTCTGGCCTTCTCCCACCTTAGCACGCATCGAGACAAACCCAGGTCACGAGGCGGAAAGGGGTCAATAAGGGGAGGTGGTACTCGAGCCCCGACGGCCAGGGCGTTCGATTGTGGTCATGTTGATAGGGGCATGCCCATCGCCGTCCCGTTGGATGATGGTACAAAAAGGGGTCAACAGGCTGGATGTGTGGACCTGATCGCCGGTCGTGGGCATGGCAAAGTCTATCAAAGGGGTTCCCTGTGGGTTTGAGGGAGCTGATGCACTAGGGTCGCGATGGTATGAGATTGTCTGGGCCGGGAGTGCTGTTGGGCATCGGGCGAAGCGAATGGATGCGGTTGCGGCCGTGTATCGAGGTGCTGTGCTGAGGTTGCGAATGGAAGGTGAGGTCATGGGCCGAGTTGAAGCTGTCATCGCTGGACCCTTGGACCCCCCTGTGGCTCCAGCGGCTCCAGTGGCTCCAGCGGCTCCAGTGGCTCCATGGTCTCAGTGGTCTGGTGGCCCCACTCGGCTGCTCGCCCGGCCGCTGCTGCCTCAGCAGAAGGAGCGCCCTGTTAAGTCATAATCGTCATTGAGCGATCTGTGGGGCCCGCGGCAATGCACGATCTTGCATCTAAGGGAGTCCCACCCCACTTAGCCAGATGCATCACGATCGGCTCGGCTTGTCAACCTCGCCGGCCATCGACGACCTCCATCAATAGCCTCATCTCCAGCCATCGACGACGCATCAGGTTCCTTGGCTGAGATGTCGACGTATAGCAGATCATCATCAAATCGATCTTCACGACAGTACAGGCCTTTCTGTAACAGCCAACGTTCTATTTTCTTCTCTCCTACTCGCAATGCAAGATGCAGCAAACTCGTGACAAAAAAAAAAGTAAGGAAAATGAGGAAAAGAGGAAAAGAAATCAACATACGCGGGTATCGTCTAGATGAAAGTATCCTTATAATCCGTCGATCCATGCCAAATCACCAATTTTGTATTCCGACCTTCGGAAACGATGCCTGCTCCCAGGGCTCGCAAACCACTTAGCAGGCGCACATGCGGGTGCCGCCCACCATGACGGAGCCGGCAGCGCCAGTCGCGGCCTTGGTAGCACCGCCAGCAACGCCGCCGACGGTGCTAGTCAGGCCGTTGGTGAGGCCACCGAGACCGCCCGTGAGGCCACCGAGGGCACCAGTCAGACCGTTGGTGATGCCGCCGAGAGTACCAGCAACACCGTTGGTCAAGTCGCCGAGGGTGCCAGTCACACCATCGAGGGTGCTCGTGACGCCGTCGAGAGTACCGCTAGCACCGGCACCGGCACCGGCACCAGCTGCGCCAGTGAGGCCGCCAGTAAGGCCACCGAGGGTACCAGTGATACCGTTGAGAGCACCGCCAGCACCCGCACCAGCACCGGCTCCGGTGAGCCCGCCAGTGACGCCACCGAGGGTGCCAGTGACGCCGTCGAGGGCACCACCGGCACCGCCAGAGCCACCTCCAAGGAGACCACCGAGGAGGCCAGTGAGGAGGTTACCGCCGACATTACCAGCGCCACCGGCGCCGGCGCCACCGCCGAGAAGACTAAAGACGGTTCCCAGAATGCCGTCGAGGGGACCACCGGCCTTGCCACCAAGTACGCCGCCGAGGCTGCCGAGGGCGCTGCCGGCCTTACCGCCAGACGCAAGGCCAAAGATCGATGACAGGATGCCCGACACAGTCGAGATGATCTGGCCGATAAAGTCGGTCGAACCTGTGACGTCGGCGAGCTCGAGCGAAAAGCCGCGGGTGCCGGGGTTGACAACACCGGTGAGGCCGCCGAGGGTGCCCTGGACGCCGCTGAGGAGGCCCGTGAGGCGCTGGACGTCGACCGAGCCGCCGCCCGACTCGATGAGGGCGTCGATCTCGCGCTGCGAGAGCTGGAGGTCGTTGAGGATGCCCTCGAGGCCGCCGAGAACCGCGTCGGCCTGGCGGCGGGCGAGGCTGAGCGTGGGCTTGACCGTGATGGCCTCGCCGGTGGGCAGCATCGTGCCCATCTGCTGCTCGAGCCCCATGTTGATGGCACTGTTGGCGCGGGCAATGACCGTTTTGTCCATGTTCACGCCCTTGCTCATCATGTTGTTGGTCGACTCCATGCCGTTGGCCGCGTCCATGTTCATGGGCTTGGCGTAGGAACTGCCAACGAGGGCGCTAAGGGCGAGGGTAGCAGTCGAGGCCTTCATTTTGACAGTGGGTTTCGGGTTTTGTAAGTGAGTGTGGAAGGTGAGTTGGTAGAAGATGTCCAAAAAAATGAGAGAACGGTAGAAGTGAGACGGGTTGTTAGAGAGTGTGGTGAGAGAGTGTGTGTGATATTGTGTGAGTTGCTGAGTGCTGAGGTCTGCTTCTTCCATCAACGGACTGACAACCTGCGTCTTTATACTACGCTTGCCTCACGATATCGACTTTGAGCTTCACACAACAATCTCCTAGAACTCTGAATGGCTCCTCATTGTTGGTGAACGTTTCCCACATTGTCGGCCTGTCTCTCGGCAGGACCCTGGAGCAGCCATATCGCGAAGCCTGGGCAGCCGCCGACCGACGCCACGCACAGATGGCCTCTTGGGTAGGGGCTCGCTGGAATATTGTCCCAGCATCAGGCACCGGCACCGGTTTAGCTACAAGTGACACAGTCCCAGATGAGGCTCAGGAATCTTCCTAGCACTATTGACTGTTGTGTGCATCCGAGCGTGGGGTCGGGTTCCCAAGGGTCCTTCATCTCCCTTAAGCCACGGCTTCTCCCCGGCATCGTGCCGCGCGAGCTGTGGACATCACTGCAGAGCTTCTTCCGGTGTCTCCGGTGTCTTCCCGGAATGTGGAAGCACCTGCATGTCGCCGATCGACTAAAGGAGTATATGTGGAATGTCACACAAAAATACCCGCCGTTGGATGGGTGTTCATGAAGTTCCCTTACGGCACTGTGAGATTTGCTAGCCTTTGGTCCACGATACGTGCCTCGGGTGAGACATCGATGGGTCGTCCCGAGACAGCCAGCTTGCGGACACCACTTCGACCTTCCACAGCAGCGGGTGCTTTTGATTTCAGATGCATCATGAGCGTGCCCTGGTGCGTGGGATTAAAGGTCCACATGACAATACCTTGTTCTGTTCCGGGTCATCAGGGCTGCGGACGATCAGGGTCTGGTGCATATTTCGAGCGACTCAAGTGAAGGGAATTCGGCAGAAGCTCATGCCAGTCTTTGAAGCAGAGCAGAGACATTGGCAGCGTGCAAGTTGGGTGTTCATATCCCAATCCGTATGAATAGCGCCCATGCATAGGTCAAGATGGTGTGGTGGTTGCTGAGGAGCCTCGGCCAGCACCAAGTCGGCTGGAGGGATGGCAACCGCTCTTTCCTGCCGTACTGCCTAGGCTACAGCCCAACAAACTAGGTACATAGGCAACTCCGAAGCGCCATTCACCAACAACCACCGGGCCGTGACGCATGGCCTGGTGGTTATAGAGGTGCTTAATAAATGCCCGTAAACACATGCCTCTACATGTGAGGGCGCGCAAGTTCGAAAGCGCGTGGAGGGACTTGGGGGTTCGACGCCGGCACACGGCAAAGGAGAAATCCTTTTTGACATCGCATTTTTTCTGTTTTGATTTTGTCTGCCCTTTTCGAGTTATCACCTGGCCTTAAAAATGGGCTTTACTCGGTATCATGCAGGCGGCGGCAGGCTTGAGATGTGATGTTTTGGGAGGGGCGCTTCTGATGGTTTGCGCGTGCATAGCAACTTGTGCGAGAAGGCATCTTTTCTCGGCCGCGGCCTCTACTTCTTCCAGTCTCGTTCAATATTATATGGATGTGCCCGGGATATACACAGGCCCCTATGTACTCCTGTCATGCCGACTTCGAGGCCATCTGTATAAATACCATGAACATATCTCAGTCTGATAGTCTAATCTAGACCCTCTCCAATTGGCTCACCTAGGGAGCGGCGATGACTTGTATGAAACTGTCGACCCGGGTCGGTAGCTAGAGATACGTTCCTACGTAGCTGCTCTCACTCTGGTCGTTGATTAACCCGCCGATCTCTGGACTCAATGAGCACGAAACGACCCTATTTTGCTAATCGGACATAGATAAAATGTCGACCTCCGGTACCTCGCGAGAGGAGTGACCTTGACTCGCCACTGAGAAAGGAGTTGGTGCCCACGGAGTGTCTAGTACACTTTGGCTGCAAGCTAATATCCTCATCGCCAGCGAGATTCTCGTCGAACACGTCAAACGAGCCCTGTGCCTTTGTCGACCTGGTTGGAATATGACCAGCCTATCATTTGGCAACTCAACTTCGTGATACCACTCGCACTGGCACTAGAAACCTGAGAAGCAACTTGAAAAATAATGGCGCCGCGGCCGGTCGGGGAGTCTTTGACGGCTGGGACCTGGGTTAGATTTACCGAGGATAGGTTCTCTCTTTGCACGACATGACATTAGAAAGCGGTTAGTCTGGGTTCAAGGATCCGTGGCGATGATGAGACTGCTCAGGTCGGAAATGGCCCAGTTGGCAGGTGCTCATGGCATCAGACAGGATATTAGCGAGGCGTTAATCTGAATGGATGCTTGGCTGAGACGTAGAGCTTTGGCTCGATGTATGTATAGATGTAAATTTGAACTTGGTTTGATGAGCAACGGAATACGGGCTTGACAATATGCTTGGGCTTGTGAAGACTGGTTCTCTGGTGTCACGGTGGCGACAAAAAGGCTACGTCCTGGGCGATTGTCGGCAACGTACGTGCGATGATGATCCTGTTTCAGGGGGTGTGGAACTTTTACCTGGGGCGCAATTATCACCAGCAACAGCGCATCAGCGGTTAGTTTCCATCTTTAGTTGCCAGTCAGATCTTGTCGACAGGGTAAAGAAATCCTGTCTCGAGCGCTGTCAGGTGAAGAAGTCACAGACGTGGCAGCTATCAGAGCCACACGTGGGAGATTGAACTACCCGCCAGACACAGTCATGGATGTATGGCCTTATCAGATGAGCTGTTCAGCACTGCCGTAGCGTTGAAGAGCAGCAGACAAGACAATTTCATTGTGCTGTCCTCGCTCTATCGGGACAATAGCGCAATGTTGTTTCCCAAACCGCAGATCTTCTGTGCGGCTTCAAGAAAAGCCGTCTTCTGGAACATCAGGGCTTTCCAGCAACAGCCTGTTTGTTCGGAGATGTACGCGAGAAACTCGCGATAGTATATATCGCTTGCCCAACATCGACTCTTGTCTTTCACCAGACGAAGGTTACCTTGAGTAGAAAGAAACGCCATTACCAACGCCATCATTTGTCTCAACCTGGCACCGAATTCCAGCATCATCCAAGAAATTATCTGGTCACAAAGAAGTCTCACCCCCAACCCAACAGGAAAGTCTCACATCCTAACCTGATTCTATGTGTGTCCATGTTGCAACCCATCGCCCTTGTGGCCACACTTCATCCTACCCCGTGTCCTGCACCTCCACCTGGCGTCAAAAAACCAAATGCTTTTATCCTTTCGTCAGCTGTTTCTTCGGCGACGGACCTAGCAAGCCCTGCACTGCTGTACGTCTCTACATGTCCACTACCAATTCATGCCCCTACTGTCCCGATCGTCGTCCCTTCGAGCGTCAGCAGCCCATGCACATCCCCGAGGGCACCCACGTTACCTACGCCGAGAGGCGCGTCCTTGAGCAGAGATATCCTGGTGAAGCGATGGTGACGCAGTACTCGTCACGCCCGACAGACAAGCGCAGCCGCTTCACGCTAGCAGAACAAGAGAGGATCCGACGAATCCATTCGGACCAAAGGGCAATGAGGTTCGAGGTAGTGCCCGAACAGCCCGGTCATCCGATGGACATCAACAAGCCGCTGCCGCCCCGACCTTTTACAGGTGCCTTCTCGCTCGTTGGAGCAGTCAGAGTCGTCGCAGGGTTTCGAGACTCGTACGCAGAGCGAAGGGCCGCAACCTCGCAGAGAGGCGCGGAGCAGGTTCGAACGTCCCCCAAGACACCCGCAAAGGATTCATGCCATGTGGAGATGTCGCAGACCTTACAGATACCATCCAAGGCGGATCATCAGTCAAGCATTGGACATCTCGCGGTACAAATCCGGCCACAGCCCAAGGACCGTGGCTCAACATAGCTCCGCCCCCAAATACCCGTCGACCGCGCAAAAAGCAGGCTCAGGGCACGTCTCGCAACAGGTCATGGAAGAGCGGTATGCTGGGCGACACGTTGCGCGGCGGTTCCTCGAAAGCGTCAGACCCGGATTCAGACTCAGAGTCGTTCGTCTCAGCTGATGCACTATGTATCGAGCAGCGACATTCTCAGAAACAACGACTTTACGACGCGGACCTGACAAATGAAACGCCCAGGAAAGGTACAAGAAACCATCTGCTGAAGAAAAAGAATCAACGCAGGTAATCGATACGGGTTTCTCTTTGAGTCACTGTGGTTTGTTTGTGTTGAATCCCGCGTTTCGTTCTTTGTTTACGATCAGGTGTGTCGCACTGAAGTGACTTGGATGTCAGACAGCGGAGAAGGCGTGCAGGAACAAAAACAGACAATGGGTGATTGTATTAGTGAGGGCAGGAAACCTTGGGGCAACCTCCATCATACACAAATCTATACAAAAATGCAAAGGCTTACAATCTCCACAAAACACAATGCCGTGATGGTGCTGACGGAGAATTCGCAGCAGGGGATGTAACGCTCCTTCGTGATTTACCCAGCAAGTCAATGTCAAGGATCTGAGTATATTACGGGCGATTGATTACTCGACTCGCTCAGGGCGTTTGGTGAGATGACGTAGATCTCTCGATAAGTTGGGGGAGCCGAAGAGATGGAACATGGAATGGAGGTTGGCATTGTCGGCAAGTCCCATCGCTTGGCTGGCTAGCTGTGGCAAGATCGTCACCGACACTTGCTTACTGGGCCTTGCCGCTCTTGTCATCAACAGCCTGAGCGGCTTTGAACTTGGCAATCTCCTTCTCGACGGCCTTGTCGACGCGAGCCTTGAGCTCCTGTCGATATCCCAACAAGAACAGAAACTCGAGCCAGACAAAAAGGGGCGCTAGGAAGATGGCCTGGATAAGATTATCGAGCAGCGCGGGAGCGCGCTTCTCGAAAGCACCGTGGCCGATGAACTGGAAGATCCAGCAGACAACGTGGGTGATCAGCGCAGCCTGATTCGTGGTCGTCGGGTTTTCGATCCTCAGAGAGTTGCCATAGGCGGTCACAGCGAGGCCGATGATGGCAAGCAATGTGCCGGCAACAGGCTCAAGGAGCACATAAAGCGCACCCCAGGTGATGGCGGCGAGGGTGCCGAGGTTGAGTTCCAGGTACGGAGCGGTCAACCAAGATGGCAGCGGGATGAGAGTCCCCGTGTTGGTGGCCTGCGATCAATTGATGAGCTTGTGGTTCGGTGTACGGCCGGCTCTAGACGTAGACCGAGGTCGGTCAGCCACTCACCAGCAAGAAACCTGAGTAGAGGATGAGAGGCACACAGCACATGTGAATGGCAATGTTGACCGAATTATGGTGATAGGCACCATACTTTGCGCAAGTTAGCCCCAACTGAAATATCAAGAATGAATGGGATGAGACGCCTCGTCCATCACTGGTCGGTAAAGGGCCCGCAGGTTTTCACTTACAAAGGTTAGATGCTTTTCCAAGTCGAGGGACATGATGGTGGTTGATGGTGATTGGACCCGAGAGCAACAAATGTTGAATAGTGCATCCGCAGACAGTCAAAGTGACAGGTGGCTCTCTCAGGCTAGGAGACGGTGGGCAGTCTCAGGTCGTCGGGATAAGGTAGTGAGCGATGGGAGATGCCGTGGGGCCTGAGAAGAGCAAGTGATCGCGTGATCTGGGGTTCGTATTGACAGATGAGCGCTGGTGATGAGGACGGCTGAGGATGCGGAAGGGGGGTAGTCAGGGTCCTCCTTTTTGGAGATGGAGATGCGCGTTAGCTGGAAGCTTCGGAGGCGCGCGACCAGGGCCAGGGGATACGAGGGCTGAAATGTCGAGGGGTTTGACTCGAGGCAGCGGTTTGACCGAGGGTTGAGCCTCGGCTGTCTGAACGATGAGGAATCGAAGTCTGGTGAGATGGAAGTTCTGGTAGATGCAGAATGTAATAATGTCGAGGTCAGACCATGGTGATGAACATTGGGATTTTGAGAGGGGGGGAAAGAGTTTGAACAATGGTCGTGCTCGTGCTCGTGCTTCGTGGTGCTGGCGCTGGCGCTGCCGTTGGTTCGCTGCAACTTGTTCCCCGTCCCCAGACAGAGTCAGGCGCGCCCCTGTCGAGGCCCAGCCTAGGCCAGGTCCTGTCGAGGGAAGGTGGCACCTGAAGTACCTACTCTAGGTAGGTAGGTATTGCACTGCTCCAATTGACAGATGGCAGGTGCTGCACAGCATTCTACGGGAGCACCACACTCCACCCCCACTTCCGCCTTCCGCCTACCGACTTGTCCTCCGCCCTTGTGGCGCGTGCTTGTGGGTACCTGTGGCTTTGCATCTTGTTCTCGCATTCTCTTTGTGCCTTAGCCAGATGCCTGGGCTCGCGCCAGGGAGGCCTCAGCCTCGTCGGATTTATCTCCTCCATCTACTTCTCCATCCCACGGCTCGCGATCCCATCAATTGACCGCCCGTCGCCAGGAGTTAGTGTGGCGCGTCTCAGTAGCCCCGACCCCAGCTCAGGAGGCCTTCGTGCATTTTAATTTCCTTCCGTCTTTCTTTTCACTGTATCCTCTGTGCCATCACGACACTGGCGCGTAGCAACATCCCATCGCTAGAGCTTGCTCTTCCCTGTCTTTGACACTCGGCCGCGAAAGCGAAGCGCCCCAGCCACACGAGGTCGCGTAGCGTTTACTCTGACGAACCTCAAGACGACAGTACTGCTCGACTTGGCCAGTCTTTCGAGAGGTGCACAACGCATAAAGCAGGCGACAGGGACCGACTTTTCGAGGCGATCAATTGCGAGCGAGTCGGAGCTGAACTTTTGCCGCGACACCATCACACACACACACACACACATAGCGAAGATGTTCTTCCTCAAGAATATGGAGCGCAGGGTCACCCTGCACCCTTCGTACTTTGGGCGCAACATGCACGACTTGGTCACGAGCAAGCTATTGAAGGATGTCGAGGGCACCTTCGCCGGAAGCTACTACGTCATCTCTATCATGGACACGTTTGATATCTCCGAGGGAAAGATTCTGCCTGGTAGTGGGCTCGCCGAGTTCAACGTCGGGTACCGTGCGGTCGTGTGGAGGCCCTTCAAGGGCGAGACGGTAGCGTTCCCTGGTTTCCTACCTTGGTGCTGGGGGAACAAGACTTCTGACTTGACTTCAGGTTGATGCCGTCGTCTACTCCGTCAACCATCAGGGCTTCTTTGCCCAGGCTGGTCCTCTCCGACTCTTTGTGTCTGCTCACGTATGTTGTCATTGGGAAGCGGCACACTGCTCGGATGGACAGGCGAGAACTGACACGTTCCTAGTTGATTCCTTCGGAAATCAAGTGGGATCCCAACGCGACGCCGCCACAGTTCACGGACAACGATGACACCATCATCGAGCCCGGAACGCATGTGCGCGTCAAGGTTATCGGCACTCGTGCCGAGGTCAGCGAGATGTGGGCCATTGGTAGCATCAAGGAGGATTACCTTGGGTATGCCGTCTTCCTATCCTTCGTTGCCGTGTGATTGGGCTTACAATATTTTCTCCCCCTTCAAGCTGCCTTCAGGATTAAGTGATACCCCCCTTCTGGGGCTACTGCTGCGAGAGCGGTGGGGCCTCGATGGAGAGCGAGTTCAAGGGCAAAAGCGAGCGTGAACCCAAAAATCAGTCGTCCTCTGTGGTGAGGGACGTTGATATACAGACGAAAATGGCTGCCGCTTCTCAACACCGTGACCAGGCACTCGATTGCGGCAGCCAGGCGGAGCGACCGAGAATCACCGATTGGGCAATCCGGGCTCTGCTGAGCAACAAGTGTTGTGCTTTACTTGTGAGTAAGTGATCGCTATTTCAGCAGTAAACACGACTGCCAGCGGCATACACGAGCATCGATGCCGAAGACGGAGGGAGAGAGAGAAAGCGAGAAAGAAAGAAAGAAAGACACGACATCGAGCTTCGTCAGATGAACAGGGAGCAATCCAACTTCCTAGAGTGCAGCAATTGGTGCAGAACACTTGATGGTCTATCCAGGTGTATTTTCTGCCAGGGATTACATATATGCAGGCGCGGTATATGTACTAGTGGACGTAACGGCCGAATAAACTTGGTTGCGAGACTCCGCCCAATTCTTCATGCAAGTCTCCCTCACAAGTCTTCAGACTTTGGTATTACATAGTGTTACATGAGCGACGTGAACAGGGCTGTCATTGTGCCCTGGTCTGCTCAATCTCGTCCATCTTGGCCTCGACATCGGCTGGATCGAAGCGGTGCATGAGCTTGAGGGCTTTTGTCACCAATTTGGGGTCCTCGTCTGGGGCACCCGACTTCGCAAAGTGAATCTAAACAAACCATCCAGCCTCTCATTCAGACATACACAGGAGGACTAGGAAACCTACCACGGGCACGTCAAAGTCATACAAGTCTTTCCAAGGTTTTGCCTCGGGGGTCGTAATCTTGACCTCGTGGAAGTCAAAGGGCCGGCGGTCCCAAACGTTTGAGAGGGCCGACTTGGCTCTGACGCAGAGACCGCAGCCATCCCGGGTGAAGAGTGTGATGCGGCAGGGATGGAGCAGGCGAACTGTCGGAAACATGGCGCACTAGATTCTAGTGGCTGAGGGAGAATCGATATGTTGAGGTGGGGGTTGGGTAGGAAAATCAGCGGGCTAACTCAACCATTGATTTTCAGCAAGTCCCTGCTCTTGGATGATGGATGATGGAGTGCTGTTGCAGCCAAGTTGAAAGGTAAAGATTGACTCGACGTCGCAGCGCAACATGGGCTGATGACCTGGAATCACAGAGCCTGCCACTGTCGGCCCCTGGCGGGTCCTGGCGGCGGTCCGGGGTGCGGCGGCAACAGGCGGGCAGCTCGTGCAGTGCACTGGAGCGGCCAGGGGTGGTTGTGCCACAACAGGAAGGCGGTGAGAGAGCTTTTCACCAGTGACGTGTGTTTTTCCTTCTGGAAGCTGCCAGGTGCGGTGCAACTGCCCGCCAAATTCTGGAATCGCGGAGAAGAACAATTCAAGCCATTTGCCCCGCCATTTCCCACCTACTTGCCGTCATTGTGTATCACCAACTCTGTATCTAGCACACTGGCAACCCTCACAACACAGTCAGCATACGCCATCAACGACACGCCCACACCGCTATCACCAGGGTCAATTCCTTGCATGAGAAATAGCTCCAGTCATGGCTGAGAAGTGCGTCCACCAGGGCTGCGGGAAGCTCTACACCGATCCCGAGGAGGTCTGCGTCTACCACCCCGGCCCGCCTGTCTTCCACGAAGGCCAGAAGGGTAAGTCCTCCAATAATCCGAGAACCTCTATGGCCACTGGTCGAGCCGTCATCCCGGCTCACTGACACCTCCGTCTTGGACCCCAGGTTGGAAGTGCTGTAAGCCCCGGTTCCTCACTTTTGAAGAATTCCTCGCCATCCCACCCTGCACCGAGGGCAAACACTCGACGACCGACCTGCCCCCCAAAGTCGAACAAAAAGAACCCCAAGCCGACGGCGCGCTCGTTGAGAAGCTCGCCGCCGCCTCCGTGGCCCCGACGCCCACCCGCAAGCCCATCGCCCCGGCCCAGGCGACCCCGGCGCCGCCCCCACCGGCCCCCGAGTCTGAAGACGACGACCCCGCGCTCGCCATCCCCGCCGATGCCGTCTGCCGCCGCAAGCCTGCGCGCCAAATACGCCGGCTCCCCGCGACGGCGGCGGAGTCGTGCGTCCCACCACCCCGGGCGGTGCCCATCTTCCAACGAGGGCAGCAAGGAGCTACAGCTGCTGCAA